GTTAAAGGACCAGTGTGTAACATTTAGTGGCATCTAGTGTTCTAACTGAACAGCACTCGCATCTGTATTTGATGATGTGGGAATGAGAACGGGAAATGTGAAAGGTCTGTCCATATTCAGGTGATTATACACTAATAAAAACATAGTTATGCATCTTATATTCCATTTGTGCCAATAAATGTTACACACTGGACCTTTAATGCCAGTGTGAAGCTACGACTCCATCCCGGTGTTCCCTTTTATACACTATATCATAATCATGTTATCCTCAGTACTGGAAGCAACCACTGTATTGGGAAAATACTTCCTCAGTGGGTTCTATGCTTAGTTGGAATACTGGGCCTAGCGGGGCCTTTGTCTGACTGTCATTTATACACGATGGAAGAAATGGCCTTAGGGAGAGGGCTTGGCACAGTGACACAAGAAGGCCATCACACAGTCGGCCTCACGGGTCCCAATCAATGTCACATGAATTATTTAAGGCGGTACACCACAGCAAACCTCTCTTTGTGTTCTGCCATCGCTTCTTTCCCAATAGGATTGGATTGTACTTCGCACTGATCAGAAATGTGTGTCTTGTGTGTGACTTATATTCTGTGGAGGCAGCTGTAAGGCAACCAGTGGAGACTAAAGTGCTGGTAGCCTGATTTTGTTACTTATGGACAGACACAGGCTAGTTGTTCCCCCTTGTTTCCCGTCTTTATCTAACTGGCTGATGGCTAGAGCATGAATGAGATGGTCAATCAGTCTAGTTCCACTGTATTACTGAAGGACAAATCACTCCATTGGGCTTTTTATACAAACTGTGGATTTGTGACTTATATTCGTATTTAAAATATTCAGCACAGGTGGCACAAATCACTCACAAGGTCCTACAATTTGTTGCGATATATATAAAGTACATATAAGCTACTGTACATCTTACTTCACCATTAATCTCTCAGTGGCTTTACAGTGTCATGCATGCATTCATGCTCTAAATAAGTAGCTCTGTATATTGGATTTGTGCATTATGCCTGTTAGAGAGGGGCACAACTTGCACCAACGGCCATAGTCCAAGCACACTGACCAAGGCACGTACTTGTGAGTAACGTCGCCTTCTGCCTCCATTTCTAAAATGCTCTTAGGGGTTCTCGACCATGCAAGTCCACGGCTTCTCTCGCCCATGACTGAGGCCTGGGAAGCTGGTTCAAAACAATGAAGGTGTTATGACTGTTCATACTAAGCTTATTATGAGTGTCTCACTCTAGAACAAAGGAGAGAGACACGTCCAGCCACAGCAGGACCCTAAGCTGATTCCTCAGCCCCAGTCTAGACACACAGCACAACATGCCTATGGACAGACAGGCATACATGCGCAGATTCACGGGCGTCCAGTGAAATGTATATATCCTGTTTGCCTTACATTTCTTTATCCCAATAGATTGCGCACACATGCACACATTTAACTTTCTCAACACCATTCTGCTCAGATTATGCAACATTTCTGCTGTCCAGTCCGCAGTGTCTGAACATCTGCTCGCCACATGAACACTATTGTATTCATTTCACTGAAGAGGTTAAGGATTTCACAGATACACGAGTGTGTCAGTATGACAACTTAGGTGTTGTTTATGTTCTTTAAATCAGAAAAGGAACATAACAAAATGTCTCGTTAAAAGAATGTACAACACTGGCTTGTTGTGCAAATGCAGGTCAAAGTTAATGGACAGGCCAAAGACAAAACCACAGCTGGATGGCACAACAATACTGCGCTTTGAAATGTGGAACATTTCCAGAAATGCTTTTTATTAGTGTTAAAGATGCACATGTGGTTAGTGGTTATAAACGGACATGTCAAATTAGCAGCTCACAAACAATATAGTTTGATATTAGATTTTTCATTAGTTACTAATGTAAGTAAATATTCAGCTTTATTTCACTTAAGGAGAAAATCTGTTCTGCGGTGAGACAGTGAGTAGCACTGCTTTATGCAATATTAGATATTTATATATTTTTTTGCATCAATGTGATGAAGTACTTTTAATTCTCAGGTATTTCATTTGATTGATTAGCCAAAAACATACATTTCCACCTATTTTACAGTTTCCTGGCTGACTTTTCCATAACATGTAATAATCACATTATATACCTACAGCATATGGAGATATAAAATTATACATATAACATGAATGTTATTGATAAAGCCCACTCCTTGGTTGAACCAAAAAATATTCATGTTTATTGGAATCATTGTGCAGACAGGACCTCATTAAAAGTGAATGTAAGTTACCTTGAAATGCTGCTACACTTTTAAATTAATTGTTTTCTGGTATTCAATAAATCATTAATGCAACAATAGCTGGGAAAAGTTACTTTCAAGCACATCATACAAAAAAAGATAATTCTTCCCATACATAATAAGCTTTTTGTGACAACAAGTTTTAATTTACTAATTGTAGACCTGAATAAAAATTAATGTAATTTAAGTAGAGTTGTATAGAGAGGCCAACAGTAAGACAGGAACTTGACATTTGTGGCTTTGTTTACTTACTCTGAAAGAGCCAAACAGGCATCCTGACAGTGGTGCATTCAGTCCAACAATATAATGGGCCAGAATCCAAACAGCAGGTTTTAAAATGTTCAATTAAATCCAGGCAGAAAGAAAGCCATCCTCTTATTGTCACTTTAAGTGGCATACCCTCTGATTCTACAATATGTGTATTTCTGCTCCCTCTAGTGGCTCTCAACGCAAACATGTTTTAATGAATGAATGAATGAATGAATGAATGAATGAATGAATGAATGAATGACATCCCGCATACACATGCAGGTACACACAAAGTATTACCTGCAACAAAATCCACACAAAACATGTAACTGGTCCCTTCAGTTGAAGTGAGATTTAAGACTCATTACATCAATATACTCGTTACATTAGTCGGGTGGACATAATATGGTTTTAGAAGCACACATGGTCAGTGTGAGAGAAAAAGAGGGAAGAGATCAAGTAATTCACCATGCTTTATCAAAGAACAGATACAGGTCTCAAGAACGAAAAAACACAACTTTAACAGTGCCTAAAGATTATTTCTACAATTACACAGGACATACCGTTTATAAAAATATCAGACTCTGAATGCATAGGTTAAGTCAAACTGTATTTTGCTTTTTCTAGAACAATAAGCAACCCCACAAATACAATGTTAGTCATCTCCTTTCCACAGAATCAAGGAAGATCCTATAAAAAACATTTCAAACATGCTGCTCGCACTCACCCAGGGCACAAAATGGCCAGGGGGTTGTTTCCTCCCATACACTGTCCCACTTTCTCAACCAAGCTCCTGCCTTAAAACTCGTCGTGCAACTTCACTTAGTAAAGCATTTAACATAGTTGGGAACATAAAATAAGCACTCTTGGTAGTCTTTTCTTCTCACAGCAAACTTTCTGGAAACACATTCTTCCCCCTCCCCCCCCCACACACATTGCACTTGGCTTCAACAATAGCGTCTACGCACCCTTAATCCCAGTGTTAAAACTCTTTCTTGAACAATACTAGACTTTTTGACACAAACGCAACAGGCCTAGCTGGTTAAAAAAAATTATACAAATGAATAAAAAATATATCATAAAACATACAAATACAGTAAGAGCTTCAGGTATACATTTGACCAGTAAACAATTACCACTGGGCGAGAAACCTTTTGATTGTAGGACGTGTAGTGGCGGCCTACCGCACTGCTTAAAATAAACGAGCCCCAGCATTGGGAATTAAAATATAAAGTGTTGATGAAAGCAGCATAAACATAACCGTCCAACATGACAAGGCTGTGCCTTTTGACCTGTCATGGTCCACTTAAACCCTTAATATACAATATAAAGAATGTCGTTCCTAGTCAGTCTCCATTGAAGTCAGACAGCAACAACACTTCTGATTAAACTACCAATTAGAAAACATACATTTTTCTTAAAATAAAAAATAATAAAATATTAGCAATAGACTGGCCTTTACAGCCAAGCTGAATCCATATGTAAGGTTATTCTGTGTTGCTTTTAGTTGTAAAGTTTGAAAGAAATCTATAGATTTCTATAGAAATAGATAGCCTAGGTTTAAAGTGAGGTGACACAAAGATTATCATTTCAGAAATAATTTGGATGAGTGTTGGAGGGAAAAAGAAACTCATTAAACCAAGTGCAATAAACACAGATCGTCATGTCCTTTGCTATATCTTATTTATTTCAAATTCACTTTGGGCGGTGGGATCTAAAGAGGCTGCATTCTTTCTTGAAGCAGTGATAGTTTATTCTGCAGTTAATATCTTTGCTGGCTAGATGAGTTTTTGGTTTCAATTCTAAAATCACAGTTAAACAGAAGGACAGCAACTGAAACTAGTCGACAGACTCAACTTATACGATAAACCAGGTTTGAGCCTCATACACAGCTTTTGCAGGGACTCAAGCCAGTGTATGGTCTCACATTATTAGTAATGATCAATATAACTCAAAAGATTTAAAATAAATACTTCATAGTTAACAGTTTTAAGTGTTATGCTGACTGAACCCAATAGCGTGACAAGAAGTGGTAACGTGTTGTAGAAAATAACAAAAAATGAGTCCTCCTTCAAGTTGCTGCACATTTATCTCAACGATAGAAAGGAAGTTTTTGTCCGACATGAAACGACACAACAAAACGAATTATTTCTGTTCCACAGTGTGTGACTGGATGACTTAAATATGTAGAGAAACCCAGTACTCCTAGTCAAATATGTCCATCCTTGTGTAGATATAGATTAAAGCATACTGTATGTGTGGTCAGCAAATAAAAGTACTATTAGTCCAAAGATACGAAAGATAAGTCTCACCTGGTGTGAGATTACCTCCACCTTAAGTATTAGGCCAGTAACGGGTGCCCTCTGCCGAAAAGACACTAAGGTTTATGCCTACAGCATATATGAAAGTGTGTACGCCAGCTAGAATATCTGATAACGCTCTATAGGTCAGTTTGCTAGAAATTCACGTTTCTGTGTGCAAGTCCACTGTGCTGCAGCTCATCCTATTCTGTGGACTGATGATGAACGTATCAGTAAGAGTTATGTAAATCCTTCCTGTTGTCCTCTGCTCTTGGTCTTATCAGACCTATTTTCCTCTGTGACCATAGTCCACAGCCAGTATATAGATGTGTGTCCATATAAGGCTATTGCAGAATCCCGTTCAAGTCCAGTTTGTAAGGAAGACGAGCCAATGTCTCCCTCTGTTGTCCCACTGGGGCCTTGGCACAAAGTGCAGTGGGAGGAGAGAAAGAGATAAAGAGAGGACAGAGGGGCCCAAATACTTTCGCACATAATCGAGGACACCATGCATCAGTAATCGCTTAGAACTGGTTGGGTACACTAAAGCGGCAGGAGGCCCAGAGGAGGACAGCAGGAAGAGAATAGCTACAGAACTTGGGGGGGGGGGAGAGAGACAACCAAATCCCAGTTAGGAAATTGGCGAAACACCAAAGCCGGACAAAGCTGTAACGAGGGACCTGGGCGGGCAACTAGTTATGGTTGCTTGAGGGTAGCTACAGAAGCCCATCGTAAGCGGGGAGACCGTGGGCTCTGGTGAAGCTCTAGTAGGTGAGGCGCGAGGCCTTCATGTTGTAGCAGGGTCTGTCTGTTAGGCCCCCAGTCCCAGAGAAAAGGGACAGGCCCTCTGCTTTCTCCAACACAACCTCCAGCTCCTGAAAGTCCTGCAGCCGCGCCACATCCTTGTCCTGGACAGAAAGGGGAAAATGACATTAAAAATGCTGTTCATAGTGCAAAAAGAAGAGAGGGGAAGTTCAAGTATTATCAAACAGTGCCTGAGGCTGCAAATACAATCAAATCTAATCAAGTTTCTGGCATTTTACAGACTAATTGGAAAAAAAAAGAATCAATTTTATTTTACATTAATCAATAATGACAATTTAGCCATTTATCAAACACCTTGAATTGGAGCATGGGGCATTATATGTCAATATTTGTCTGAGGCAGTGGATAATGAAACAAATATAGTGTATGGGGGTTAGGGGAGGTTTCAGTGGGAAGGTAAAGTGAGTCAAACTATTTAATTAGAGAGTTGGTGACAGCAGACATGAGTCAGACAGAGAGTGGGGGGGGGCAGACACAGACTGACAAAGCGGTTTCAATGTCTTTATGACAAAACAGGACAGGCATTACTGTGAGAACAGGCAGGTTAGCTTAATCCGATTACCAATTCTCTTTCACAGAATATAAAAGTGCAATGTGTGTGACGTGCAAGTCTGGGTGAAGCATTCTCAAACTTCTATGTGAAGTCGGCACTAAACCATAGCTCACGAAGCCAAACAGCACTTATAGCGGGGGCGCTGCCATCCCTCCGCTCCAAAACATACTTTACATAACGTATTATTTCCAGCGTCACATCAGGGGTTTTAAAGTTTGACACTGTGGGCACCCGCCTCAGAACCCCCCCCTCCCCATGAACTAAGTCATGGAAAATTAACATTCCATAATGGCTTTTTGGGGAACATAAAGAAGAAGTTATGTTTCCAATGGCCTTGTGGGGCCACAAACTTTTGTGCCTGAATTTTTTTAAACATTAAGTTTGTTTAGAATTTTTTTTGGCAAATTGGGCAAACCAATTAAAAGTATTACTGAACCAAATGAATGTACCCAACTTTCACTGGATTACTGATTCTGAAGAAAACTTTATGATCTTTCTCTCTGTGTGCCCCCTTCAGCTCTCCTGTGCCCCTCTAAGGAGGCACCACATCGTAGATTTAAAACCTCTGGTCTAAGTGAATACTGAACAGGAGTGCAGAAACTTCCTCTAAAGTTAAAAAAAATCTATGTTCCGCCACTATGAGTCTTTTTGAACCTGTGAGTGCATTTATCTCTGCCAGCTGCTGTAACAACGCCCCCTGGTGTGAATGACACTGGATGAAAACATGAACTTGTGTACAGGACGCAGGCCTTCTTTCTCATACCTTTCTCAACATGGTGTTTGGCAGCTTACGGATCTTCTCCACGTGCTCGGCACTGATATCTAACTCACGGCAACAGACCCTCAGAAGGGAACGGTAGGTGAGCTCCTGGCGGTCCAGCTCCACCTCGATGAAGTCGTTCTCCCGTGCGTTGGGGTTCTGGATACGCACCTTCAGCACCAACTCTAGAGGGAAGGACCGGAGTGATACCTCTCTTTTAACAAAGATATTGTGCCTTTTAAAAAAAGATGACATAACCCAATGTATGAGGTATGTGTGTGTGTGTATGTGATTAGTAATGTATAATATTGGCAATTATATGGTCCAAGATATAATGAAGTCTGTTTCACCACCCTGATGCACATCAAACATTTCTCTGCGTCATAATTCATCTAACACCATCGTAGATTTTGTGGAGGAACTTCAATAAAATTAATGTGTTGTTGCTGGTGACAGTGACAGTTCATCAGTCATCCTACTGAGAGAAAATGCTACATCCATTAATAACTATCTGCTTTGACAAGTTGGCTGCCAACACGCGGGGAGAACGAGGACGTCGTCATGTCCTTATTGGTCTCTTACCTGAAGACACATAACAAATAGAAGCCAGCAGCTTTACACTCATTTACACACAACAAACTCAAAGTCGGAGGCTCTCTTGCCTTTAATGAGCAAGAACGGGCGTGTTTAGCCACACACAGGGACTTATTAGCGTGTCCCCTTGTTGCCTGGCAACCTCATGGCGGCAAAACAACTCCAGGAAGTCACTGCTTGCAGCAAAGAAATGCTTAAAGCTTGTAACTCCCTGTAAAACCTCAACCTGACATCTTTATATTTCTGAGTTGGAACGTGTTAAAAGAAATAACAGGTGGTTTTCACCTTTGGATAGAGCTCATCATCTCCTCTCCTTATCTACCTAACAGACAGAGCGAGCAAGACTGGTTGTTGCCACAATTCAGAAGCCATCTTGACAAACCCTTATGCAAAAGTTCAACACAACTCGTACATGTCACCTGATTACTCTCTCACCTTGCACATTGACAGGGAAGGTACTGGTGAAGAAGAAAGGCTGGAAGGCAGGCATGGGCCCCCCGCCCTGGCTGTAGCTCAGCTGCTGTGGGATAGACTGCTGCCTGCTTATAGTCGGGTTGGCGCTGGCCACCGGGGCCTGGACCTGGCTACCACTGCTGCTGGCCAAGCTGGGGCTGGGCGAGGGTAACGGAGGTGAGCACATGGTGCCGTTGTGCGCCACGGCGTGCGGGTAGTCAGCGTGGTTGACGAGGTGCGGCTCAACGGACAGGTCCATGGGCACTGTGCAGTTGACAGCAGCGTGGTTCTGGGATGAGGCCTGGCTCACTCCGTTTTGCTCAGTCACAGGAATGAACTCCCCAGCCTGGGCTTGGCTGTGGGCGGTGTTTGGGGGAGGAGAGGAGCCATCAGAGACCAGGCCCTGTGATTTCTGAGGCTCGTGAGTGGGGGAGAGGGAGGCTGAATCGCTCTGCGTGTCCTCGTCGTGTTCTCCAGAACCGTTCTGTGCGAGGTGCTGGGCCAGCAGGACTTCTGACTTGTTATCCAACTTGGAATACATGAAGGGTGGGTTAGACAGGTAGTTGGGGATGATTGGCAACTCAGATTCCTTGACTTCAGGCACTTCCTCCACTTCAACTGCAGTAAAAATGGGCATTAAAAAAAAATGATTATTTCCTCAAAAACAGTTCAAAGTGACCGCACAGACATCGGTCAACACCGTAAACAGCTGTAGATACACTTATGGAGGTTATAACGTTATACATATAACATACGGTAAATAATGAGAATATAGTGACAGAAACACAGGACGGTAAGAAATGTGTAGTTTACCTCCTAAAAGTCGTTTGATCTCCGGCTTGGATGTGAGTTGTGAGGCCAACTCATCCTTAGCCGTGAGGATTTCTTTGTCGGCTCCACAACCGAGTAGGTAGGAGACTATGTGCTTATGGTTCCTCTTACATGCCCAGTGCAGGCATGTCCTGGTGGGATTATTGGAGAGAAAACACAGATTAATAAACCCAAAACACTGACATATGAAGACAATACGACTTTTAACTTTATAAAAAGGTATGCAATGGACACCGTTTCAATTCAGTGCTGTTTATTTGTATAGCGCCAATGCATAACAAAACGTTATCTTAGGACACTTTTTTTCCTCCTTATAAACTTATTCACAGACACCCAACAGCTCCCACCAGGAGCCAGGGAAAACTTTTGAAGAGCTTGAGAGACTCCGGCTCTTGGTGGGCGGCCGTCTGCCTCGACCGGTTGGGATTAGAGAGAACGACACCGACATAGTTCCACATATCACGACGCAGGCTGCGTACTGAACTTCCAAGTGGAGTCGAAAACACCACCTGAACAGCACCTGCGCTCGTGTGGCACTGGCACAAAGAATTACATCAGGCTGGTAAAATCAGAGCAAAAGTTTAGAGCATGAATGAAATAATCTTATTTACAGGCACAGAAGTTCTTAGTGCACAGTGTAAGTGCCTGAAAATGTAATGTGTTGTTTAATAACTGTATTTTTATGTCCCACAGGAGTGTATTGCATATGGAATTACACTTGGACTATAATGTTAATGTATGTTTTAGGCCACTTAAGTCAATAAACTAACTATCTGTGGCAGTGAGAGTATGGACTTGAATAAAAAAAAGACACATTACACGTCAAACAGTCCCAAAATACCACCTAACAGGGCTTCCATGCACTGTTTGAATAAGCAAGATTAGACACAAAGTGGCAGGCCTGCGCAGCCAGCCTTTGCTCTGCCTAATAAGATAACAGCGAAGCAGCTTTAATCCCTGTAACAACGCACTTCAACCCGCCGCTCTGCCTGCACTCAACTTTCTGTTTTTAATAAGAACTGAACCCATTTACAGACACAGACACACACACACACACACACACACAGACAGAGAGAGAGAGAGAGTCGGCCTGCGTTTGACGGAGAGGAGACCACATGCGTCTGTTCGGACACTCACCATCCATTTATCTCGTTCTGGGAATTAACATTGACTCCACTCTCCACCAATGTCCGCACTTCATCGATGTCCCCGATGGCAGACGCCTCTCTCAGTCGCTCCTGTAACTCTTTATCCAGCGACGTGGTGGACATTTTGGTACAGACAAACTAACGCTGCGAGATCATAGGACACACAGAAACCAACCCCGGGTTAAGTTGTCAATGCTAATCTCCTACACAGGTCCACTATTAATAGAGCTGCCTGCGAACAGTAGCTGCCCGGCTATTCGTCACCTAGCTGAACGGTGCTAGCAGTGTTTGGTGCTAGCTCGTCGGTGGACGGAGGGTTTGGCGGAAACGCTGCCGGTTTCCGTCCTCGGCATTTATTCCTGTTGTTGGTTCACGTTTCAGACGCCACCAGAGCCGACACTCGTTCAGTCCGTCGGCGGTGTCAGAGCTCCGTCAGCGGGCTGCCACACAAACACCAGCGCCTCATCGGGGGGCATCTTTACATGTGACAACAGCGAGCACTAATGTTGGTTCCCCCTCTGGATGGTAAATGATATGATAGATTATCTGACTACTAACCCACCGAGAAATAACAGGTGAGGTCAGAGTTATTAACGCACACGTGTTGCGTGTCAGTAACCAAGCAACCAGTGGGTAATAAAATAAAAAAAAATCCATATTCAGCATATTGAGTTTTATATTATTCTTATAGATTATGGTTAGTGTTTGGTCAGACCACAATAATAATATTTTTTAATTTTCTAACGTTAATTCCTAATTTTATGTATATTCATATATATATATATATATATATATATATATATATATATCTATATATGAATACAGAAGGAGGTATATGAATAGCGGAAAGGCCCCTAAAGAAGGAACAGAACCGAATAAATACTTACAAAATGTAAATCTACCTGTAACAACTTGAAAAAAACAAAAAAACAACTACACAATCAATCAGTTACTGTTCATTAGTTCTGATTGTTCAGTGATGTCATTTTATTTTGAAAGTAATGCCGAATGAATCCACGCGGAAGGCCAGCTGGCATGACAGTTATCAACTACTATCAATACTATTTCATGTTTTATTTCTTATAATTATAATGATATCGCAACTTACTGACGTTACTAATAATGGTGTTAGACATGACCGGTTATATTGCCGCTGTTTTCAACATTGTGCTGAGCTCCGTGGCAATTCTAATACACTCAGATCAACATTTATCCCCCCGCATTAATAAAAACAAAACAAAAAAAATCTCCTGGCTGGTCTCAAAGCAGGGAGATTCTGAAGACAAGTCTATAATTTTGCTAAAGCTAATAGTAATTATACTGTTAAATGTAGTAAGTTCATTAAGAGTAGAGGAGCTTATCAACTAGAGAACAATTCTGTTAAGCTGTTATATTATCTAAAGCCATTACCGAAGTGCAAGTTTGCTTCCTTTCTTTATTGACCGAGCTATTACGTTTTGTTTGGCTTCCACACTTTGACCATAGATCGAATAAATCTAATATTCCGTTAGGAAGGGCAGTTTAAACTTAATTGTATTAAAACACGTTTAACGTCTGCCTGAATGGGATTCATAAGGAGTACAAGGACATAGAGGGATCCAGATTACACATCACGGTCCCACCCGAGACCGTCAAGCAGACGCAATACCGTTATGTCGCTCCGTAAAGATTTCAAAATAAAACAAGCAAAACGTAATACCGTTGACATAGTTCCGTGGCATCCTGAAACTCGCTCTCGAACTTGTGCTTCCGGGTCAGCGCTAAACGCACTGGTGCATGAACCATTAAGACGCGTGTTACGGCGACCTGCCATTTTGATTAGAAGTACTTTGCGCGCATAGATGGTTGAACTGGCTCCTCGGGAGATATCCGTAGTAGTGAACCAAGGCTACACTCGTCTAGCACGATCTCTCGCAGCCCAGTTACTCAGATAATGCCGGGACAGAAACTTGGCCCCCCGACGAAAGAAACGATCCAACGGCGGGGACGACGAGAGCTGAAGTTAGCATCCCAGCTAACGTAGCTAGCTATTTGTGGCAATGAAAAGGTCGGCTAGCAAGATGATAAAGAAACAAAAATAGTACGGTGTAATGTTGGTGTGGGGTCCTCCAGTTAAAACTAGATATCAGATTACCAGACGGATTAATGTTCCACTGAAGCAGTTTGATCGCTTAAGAGGTTGTGTCGGGCACGCGTGGAATTAGCATCAGTTACTACGCTAACTAATGATATTCCAGTGACTCACAGTCGAAACGTATTAACATTATAAGACAATTATAGAACATTATAACATTTACTGCTGCTCTGTGCTAGTGTTGCTGTTGAGGTCAGAGATTTATTTACATTATTACACTGTTGCTTGGTTGGTTTGTAAAACTAATGTTACCGTTAACTAGAGACATGAGTGAGAACATATCAAGGCTAATGATACTTAATGTCCTTTTTTTAGTACTGTATATATATATATATATTGTTATTTTATACTCATAATATATTTTTTATTTGTTTTTTTTTTTTTTTTAATTTTATAGTAATACTCCTATTGTAAATTAATCTCAATCTCAATTGTACATGGTAGAGTTGACAATAAAGGCATTCTATTTTATTCTAAATTAACTTAGAAAAGCTCATTTGTCTCCAGTTGGAATAAGTTAAATGATTCAAATAAAGTTTTCCACATTTATTATATATACATTTAAAATACTAAACGATCTCCTTTCTTCATTAAGGTCTGTCGGTACTATTTGTGTGGCTTCTGCCCAGCTGAGCTATTTACAAACACCCGCTCCGACCTGGGTAAGTCAAGAACCTGTAGCTGTCCATACAGCAGATATGATTTATTAAAGCGATAGCTGACACGTGCATCTGTTCTATCCGAAGATAATAAAGTGTCACAATTCTTTCCCAGGCCCTTGCGAGAAAATCCACGATGAAAATCTTAGGATAACGTAAGTTCCGATTGCGGTTTGTAACATGATTTGTGTGCGTGTTGATATTTCCACCTAATAATAAACAGTTTCTATCCTTTTGTATGCAGGTATGAGAAGAGCTCTCGGTTCATGAAGGAGGGTTATGAGCGAGACTTCCTGCGCTATCTGCAGTCGCTCCTGGCTGAGGTGGAACGGCGGATTCGTAGAGGACATGCCCGACTCGCACTTTCCCAGGCTCAGCAGAACGCAGGGGTAAGTGCTTCAGCTCTGAGGGTTTGTTCTGTAACGCCTTTCTTACCACTGCATTGATTTTGTTGTGTTCTCGGTGGTCACTAAATCGTTGGTCATCTTAGACTAGGGATGCATCCATTGGGAAATTATGGGCTGATGCCGAAGTTCAAATTAAGAATTTGGCCGATAGGCGATGTTATTCCCCCTTTTGTGCCAGGAAAAACAGAGAAATCGACAAAGATAAGCATCTCTGCCTTTTTTGCTGCTCGGTCTAATTTTCTTGTAAGAGTCAGAGCTGAATAGCTGCTCATTGTCTGTGCTGCAGCATGGAGCACAGCAGTGTTTTTGTGTAATTTGTGTCAGTGCGAAGGTGATTATTTCTCCAATATCCAAGTTTGTAATTACCAACACATTCATATTTAGCAAAATGAATGTGATCCAGCAGATGAACATTGGCTGAGAATGGTGAACGCCATCTTATTTGCTCATGCCGCTGTCAGTCATCACCACGAACATTGGCCGATATATTGGTGCATCCCTTTAGACTCCAATGCACAGCATTAATGCCTGAGATGCATTGTGTTTCTTTCAGCAAGGTCCTGGTCCATCAGGAAAGAATGAGGAGAAGGTTCAGGTTCTAACGGAGAAGATTGAAGATCTAGTTGTACAGGTTTGTAAAGAAATAATGGTATTAATGTGTTCTTTATAAAAGACAAGTGCATAGTTGTAATGGTATTGGGAAGATAGTAGAATACTGATTCTCTGTCATTTTAATATCTGCCACATGTTTGTACCAGACTGTCTCACAGCTGGAATTACTGCTGTTGAAATGATCTCATAAGACGTCAACCTACATCTCTCATTGACACCTCCAAAACCTAGTTGTCAGTTATACAACGTTGCATTGTGATAAAATGGCTGATTTGACTCGTCTCTGTTGTGCGTTTGCTCAGATTGAAGAGCTGGGGTCAGAGGGCCGCGTGGAGGAGGCCCAGGGAATGATGAAGCTGGTGGAACAGCTGAAGGAGGAGAGGGAGCTGCTCAGCTCCACCCCCTCGGTGAGTCAGCTAACTCCAGGCTAATCGGCCTACGGGTGCTTTAATACTATCTGTTAACAGTTTAAGTTCTTTTGAAACAGAAAGTCAAACTAAACTGAAATAGCTAGAAGTTATTCTTCACTAGAACCAACAACATCCATTCTGATTTTAACCATGTCATAACTAACCATCAAAGCAACGGGGCAATTGGTTGAGTGTCCTGTAAGGCAGGAATACAGTATATTGCTTATTACGCCTCGCCCTTGTGATGGAACTGATTTGTACTTTCTATCTAGACCATCGAGAGCTTTGCGGCCCAGGAGAAACAGATGGAAGTGTGTGAGGTGTGTGGGGCCTTCCTCATTGTGGGTGACGCACAGTCTCGAGTGGACGACCACTTGATGGGCAAGCAACACATGGGCTACGCCAAGATCAAATCCACTGTAGAGGAGCTCAAGGTAACAGAATCACCTGGCACGAAGAGTGCACGCGTAGATGAGACGGTGTCTGCATGACTTAAGCAGTATCAGTTACAAGATCTATGTTGCAGCAGAACACAAGGAACTATTTTTGTTGTTCTCACTGAGAAATATTTGGACTTTTGAATTTTGACTTGACTGTTTTTGCTTGTGGTTCTGATGTACTGATTAACTACTTATTCACTTTCAGGAGAAACTACGTCGCCGCTCAGAAGACCCCCAACCTGAAAGCCCAGCGCTCAAGAGGGACAGAGAAGACCGCGAGCGCGAGAGAGAGGAGCGAGAGAAAAAGCGCAAAGAGGAGGAAGAGAAGGAGAAGGAGCGAGAGAAGGAACGCGAGAAGGAGAAGGAACGAGAGCGCGAGAGAGAGCGGGAGCGCGAGAGGGAGAGAGACAGAGAGCGGGACAGAGACCGAGACCGGGACCGGGAAAGGGACAGGGACAGGAGGGCGCGCCGAAGCCACTCGAACAGCCGCCACTCCAGTCGAGCATCAGACAGGAAACGGAGCAGATCCCGTGATCGCCGGAGGTCCAGAAGCAGAGACAAGGACAGGGAGAGGGAACGCAAACGCAGCAGGTATGGCTGTCGTTGACCACTGACCACCATGTTGTTTTAGGTCTAGTAACCACAATGTGTCACCATAAAAGGACAGAGCACTGTTCTTGCTTCTTTAATGGATAGAGGCAGCTGCACCGTTTAAATCCACATTTAGAACACCAACACTGGACTTTGAACTGTGGTCGTTGACCCCTCCATTTTTCTTTTTTCTTTTTTTTTGACAGGCTAATTTTTAGCTGCATTTGTTGTTTGAGGTGTGTTAAGTTTGGAACCTAACATA